AGGCGACCGACTGCGGCGTGTGCTTGTGCGCTTGCTCGCAGCTGCATCGACAGATATATCAATCGCCTCGGAGGCCACCATAGTAGCCTCCTTGAGTGCAGACCCTTAGCCGCGAGGCTTAGAGCTCTTGGCTTGCGCCTTTACGGCAGTAGCCTTGGCGTGTGCTTTTGCACCGCTTTTCACAGTACCACGGGGCATGCTAGTACTTGTACCGGGCCGCGTCCGAATGTCGAGAAGTGGTCAAGTCACATCGCCGAAAATCCGCTCGGTGACCAAGAACCCGGGTGGATCGAGAAGTATCGCCGCTCGCTGACCGAGAACGTGCGCGCCTCTTGTCGCGCCGGCTCGCGCCGACGCTCTTCACGCGAAAATTCTTGGCATCGGACTTGGTCTCGTTCGCGCGGCGGCTCAAGCCACCGATCTCGTTCGCGTGGTCGTTCAAGTCGTCGGTCTTGATCATGTTCGCGTGGTCGCTCAAATCTAAGATCTCGGTCTCGTTCACGTGGTCGACCAAGTCATCGGCCTGGGTCTCGTTCACGTGGTCGACCAAGTCGTCGGCCTCGATCACGTTCACGTGGTCATTCGAGCCGTTCTCCTCGTTCGAGCTGACATGCGTCACATGATGGTTCGCAGCGAGCTTGGACTCTTCCCAACGTTGCATTTAACAGGTTGAAAAATTGAGACGGTGCAGTCAGTAAAATCATTAAACAAATTCGATTCCCCAATCGCATTCTTCAAACCGACAAAGTCTAACAACTGGAAGACTCGCTCGAGGGTAAGATCGGCCAGATTTGACCAATTTTGGATAAATGGCGCAACAAATGTGAGATGATACAGAACTTGATGTCATAAATTTTGCAGAGTACAATACATACATGCGCCACCGTCGCAAAGCGAAAAAGTGTTCAATGTAGCACCGATAAGCAGTATTTCCTCTATAAGTTTATACTTTTTTCTCTTTTTGACTGAACTCCTCGCGTCATTTTCAATCCGATTAGATGGTCTCCGCACGTGAGTGAAATCGTTTTTGATTCGCTAAAAGTGTTTCACAACAAATGATTTTCATCCATTTTGGATAATCCGAGATTTACTATTAATAAATCGGATCCGATTTGCTGGACGCCTCCGAAATAGAAAGTAGCATGGTAAGATTGTTGTCCCGGGCCGGATATGCACTTCGAATTAAAGAGAATTGCCGTCTTTGGACGGCATAAGCGATCTGCCCAAAACCATTTGCTAGGACACTTCCAATCTTTAATTAAGCGTAGTCTAACCGCCATAGGTGATCATAGCATCATTTTACTCGGCAATCGCGCCACAGTATGCATACGTTTAGTGTTTATCTCTTCCTCAATTAGTTAAACTGAGTTGTCGAAGGTAAGGTCGTCTGGGAATGACGCCGCATTATTAAAACCTCATGTCGGGTCACATATAGCTAATTCGAGCCTAATTATCCACAATACGAGGTAGGTAATTTGATTAAAGCTCACCCATTTAAGTTTATAAGTTTCTCAGAGTAGTATATTAAGGCAGATCACTGTAAACACTATTTTTCTTAAAATAAAACCGTACCTTAAGTAGCGGGCTTTTCGCTGCGTTGTTGCCGATTCACGCGATTTGAGCACACATCGCACGTTGTATCACGAGTCGGACTCTGACCGTGCTTGTGAAATACCAATTGAAAGACGTGATTTACCTTAAAATAGCTATTTCAATAAATCTGCCATATTTTAGCAGCTCCATCGAAAAAGCTGCTTCATGGAAAACTCAGTTGCAGTGCTGAGCCTGACTCCGTGCCTTAGTGTACAAAAACAAAGTTGCAGCACGAATAGCGCTGCTGCGAGTCGCACCAGTGTTGCACGTATTAAAGTCTTTAATAATACAATTACCGGTGCGTACAAGTACATGTCTTTTGCCATCAACGGCGGACCACCGCCGTCAACGTCACGAAGCCTTCCCAATGACCGCCTGGTTCAACTCCTCACTGTCTACGCAGGGTAGTACGCTCGTCACGACGGAACACAAATGGGGATACGGTCCTTACAAGAACATGTTCACGAAGATTTTGAAAACATGAAGTAAGAAAAGACCAAGCGCAGCGTGCACCGTCACAGTGTCACTGTGTCTTAATACAAAACGCAGTGAAGCTGTAGCAGACGCGAGCGGTGTACGTGTAGACGAAAACCTACAGCACTCTTATGCATCACTCCCGTATGTTGTGTAGAGACCCCGATATGGCTGGTTGTTGGATGGAGACCACAGCTTCATGTCGTCCCTTCAACGGATCGATGCCAACGTGTCCCCAATCTGTCATGCGCTCGTGGCGCAAGCCTCGTGCTGCGAAATATCCACAGTCTCGCCAGTGCCGATTTGACAGAGATCTGTTTACGTCGAGTTGGTGAACAATGGCATCATCAGACCAATCTATGAGCAAGTACGCCAACGGTAGTGACCGTAGAGTTCCGAATCACAACCCATTCGACCGTCCCCGAGCGATGGATCGTCGTGTAGCTTACGTCGGCGAAGGTCTCATTGACCCGAACGGACTTGACAGTCTGGACAACCTCGGAGATATCGACATCGACCACAAGTCTCCTCAACGTCGTCGCGAGGTGCTGGATGACTTGGCAATCGATGTTGGAGAAAAGTACCTTGACGACATTTATAAGGAAGATACAGACGGTGCGGACGAGAACAAAGCGGCAGAACAGGTTCGACATCACTTGGCCGCGTCTTCGATCAATGGCCACGAGGTAGGACACAAAGAACGAGTCCGGACAGAGAAGGAGTTAGCGTGGCTGAAGGTGAGACAGCTCCTGATCGAAGAAGAAGAGAAGGCCTCGACACACGAGCGTCGACACGCGAAGAGCATTAGTCGATCCGCGGAACGCTCTGCAGTTCGTAGCGACGCAAGTGACGGTAAGAGCTGCAATACCGTTAGGCTTTTGGATTCCATGGCGGCGTACACGCCCCAGCCACCCCAACTCCTCTCGCTCAACAGCAACAGGTCACGCCGTGAAGTGGAAGTCCAGCCACCGCAGACATTTGCGAGTAAACTCGCCCAATTTCTAGGCGCAGGATCCGTCTCAGACAGCGAGAGTACCAGCTCGAAATCGTCGCGTTCTTTGCCCGGATACAGCGGCAACTCGCCTACCCGATGGCAGCTCTTGGCGACGCTAGAACAGGTGACCAAAACCTGTCAAAGAATGGAGCTGTCTGAGGCAACGATGGCTCGAGTGTCAGAGCATTTAAACTCGATCGATCAGGTCGTGCGGGAGGATTTGAGTACCAACCAGAGCAGGAGTCGTCGACTCTCTAGCACACAGGCATCCAACGGCTCGACCGATTCACTCGACACGTATTCCGTGGTAGATATACCGCCCTCGTACCCTCAAACTGACGTGGCGCCAACCGTTCGCGAGTCTTTCAAAGCCTTCGCTTCCGGTCAAGACCTGCGCGACACGTTGGCCGCTTTCAACAATTTGCTGGCCGATTGTTGTCTCGACGGCGTGAAGTTGCAGGAGCCGTGGCACGTGTACTACCACATCCGAGACGCCGTTTACAGCAAGCTCAGTTTCCGCCACAAACAGCTCTTCAAGCTCCTGGACGTGCGATTCAGTCTGGACGTATTCAAACGACGTCCTTGCGCTAACAAACGCGTATGTATCGTCGGTGCCGGCCCCGTGGGGCTGCGCGCCGCAATTGAGCTGGCACTACTCGGTGGTAAAGTGACAGTCCTCGAGAAACGGACCAAGTTCAGTCGAGAAAATATGCTCCACCTGTGGCCGTGGGTCGTCCAAGATCTGGCGTCTCTAGGAGCGAAAGTTCTGTTCAAGAACTTCTGCAAATCCCGGACGTATTTCCACGTGAGCACACGACAGCTGCAGGTGGTTCTACTCAAGGTGGCTCTATTAGTGGGCGTCAAAGTCTACTCTGCTACAGGCTTCAAGTCGATAGTTTCGCCAGAGGAGAACGGTGGCAACCCGTTCTACAGTATCAAGACAGAGCCTCAGATCCCAGTCGCAGAGTACACGGCGGTGCTCGGTGCGACCGGGACGAACGACCTGGTCGCGGAGTCTGCAGGTATCACCCGCTTCGTATTCTCTCGGAACGAATCTCTGGGTATCGTGTGCTACTTCCTGAACCTGGAGACAACAGACGAACTGAAGACGAAGGAGTTTTCGTGGACCACTCGACTCAAACATCACATGTTAGACAAGATGCGCGACGTCGGCATTGATCTCGAGAACGTCGTGTACTTTCGAGGAGATATGCACTATCTGGTCATGACGCCAAAGCGTCAGAACCTGCTGACCCATGATGTGGTGAAGCAAAACTATGCAGACGCGAAAGATCTGGTGCGGAAGGAGAACGTCAATCATGATGCGCTCAATGTGTTTGTCAAGAATATCGTCAGGTTTGCGGGTATCACTCGAAAGACGGACTTCACGAGGGTGAATCTCATCGACTTTAGCCAGCTGACACGAGCTGATAAGGCTGCAAATATCTTGGTATCGCAAGGTAAAAAGCTCTACGTTGGGCTCGTCGGTGACTCGCTGTTGGAGCCTGTGTGGCACGAGGGTGTTGGTACTTGCCGAGGGTTCCTGAGTGCGTTGGATGGCGCCTGGTTAATTGCTCGTATCGGAAGAAAGACAGACGAACAGCTACTCGCAGAACGACATTTTGCTTACCAGGTTATGCAGCGTCTCTCCGGCCACCACCGTGATGAGATGCAGAAGAATGTGAGGAAGTACACAGTGAATCCGAAGACGCGTTATACATGTAAAGTCGACTTCCGTGGCTGAGCAATACGTGTCAGCCAAATGAGTCGGTCACGTAGTGACAAGGTGTGGGAAGTAAGTTCAGACTTCATGATCGGTAAAAAGAGCACATTTTTAATATTTTAAGTACTATAATACGTAAGTATTAAATAATACTAAATGTGCCTGTAAAACTTCGACTACAACTGTACTTTTGCTGACATCAAATCATACTGAATGCTACTGTGAGAGATTATATAACCCTCGGATCCCAACAAGTTGCACTAGCTCAGTCTCCTTCCCTTTCGGCCACTCAAAAGGGTCTAGAAGTCCCTCTCCAGTTGTTGTGAATTCGAACGCGCTCAGCTTGTCTTGCTCGACCACAAAGAATATCTCCAATTTCTTCACCTCAAAACTTTCCGGCGATTCAGACAGCATCTTCAGCCATTGGTAAAAGAAATCGATGCGAAAAGAATGCTTGTGGGCACTCGTCACTTGGACCAAACGCACGTGCTGAGTACGTTTACACACCATGATAGCATCATATCCACCTTGGTTCCATTTTTCGGGCTTAATCCATACGGGGCGTGCACAAGAAAGCTCGGGTATTCCATCCGAAACCACAATAGCTGATTGACCCCACAAGTCAAGCTTATTTCCTGCTGAATCGACAAGTTCGAGACCGCCCTGTCGAAGACTTGAGAAGAACGCCATCTCCAGCATCCATCCATTCAGTGCTGGGTTTGAATGGTCTCGATGTGTAGACATGAACTTTTTGATAGCCTCCGGACCGCATACTATACCAACTGTAGTAGCAGCATACCGACTGATCAACGGCGACACAGTACCTTCCCAATTCGGTCGCTTAAACATCGCGAAAAGCCGGTTGATGCAAAGCTGTGAGCGGTGCCCTTCTGAAGAGAGAGTGGCAGCACTTGAGGTGGATTCCACGGCTCGGCAAAGTCTGGTCTTGACGTCGGTGGTCGTATCGTCAAACATGTAGCGACATGATCCACCAGCATAGTGATACTTCAGCTCTACCATTTCCGCAGGAGACCTTGGTCCATATACGCCGCCTGAAGCATCCAACATACTCGCCACGCACATCAAAAAATCTCGTTCCTTAACCGCATCAAGGTACTCAGCCAATGTCCACGACCAGACATCAAATTCCATTGCACGCATCCGAATATCCGTTCCCTCTTGAACTTTGCCACGAGAGGCTACCGAGCATACAAATGCCAGCCGTCGTTTGACAAGATCTCTCGTCAACCATCGGTGACACTTGACTGTTAGCTCCCTGAAGAAGTCTGCAGCTGTCCAGCCATCAACAAGCCGTAGATGCTTCTTAGTGTCATCGACCAGCAAAACTTCGTCTACGTTTGCAATATCAATGGCTCGAGTCTTTCTTTCTTCGCCAGCAAGACGCACGCAGTTCAGATCCATGTCCTTAGCCACATGAATCCAAGTAACTATCCATTCACTTCTGTCCACAGTCGACGCGAATGCCATTGCAGTAGTTGACTTTCCCGTTCCAGGAGGACCAAGGATCCAGCCCAAATGACCTTCGCTCGATACCTGATCGCGTAACAACTCGAATTGGCGGTGGAATGTGGGCCTGCAGTAGAGCATCATGCGAGAGGGTAGGAGTCCGGACTCATCCACATCTTCTTTCTCCAGCACAAAGTACTGTGAGTTCGGGTCGTAAGCGTGTGATCCCCACCGAGTCGACCGCCACTCCAGACGCTGCTTCTTGTTGGCTGCTTCCGGAAGTTTCACCAGAACGTGGATTTCACCGTCTTCACCGGCGTCTTCGTTAGGGAAACCAAACGCCGTATTGCGGACACGATAGCAAGAATCCATCTTGTTCTCCTTCTTCTTCATAATATTAATGATTCCAGTGGGGATCTCACCAGTCTCCAACATCGTCACGTCAGGATCGTCCGTCGTGAGCCAGTTGCCACCCTTCTTCGCGACGTATAGCAGTAGTTGGTCCGCAGGAAGTTTGTACATCTTCGCCTCCTTGATCATCGTCTTCAAGATTCCGACCTTCTTGCGCTCATCAATTTCCACCACGAAGAGTCTCCCGTCTCCGACCACCACGCATCCCAACGATTTCATTGCCTTTGCTGGAATGATTTATATTCAGAGTTCTATTTATTTCAAAAATATCCAATTTAGCTCTAGCTATCAGAATATTTTATGGTTCTACTGGGATAGCCTGAACAGCCCAAGCCGGATTAATGTGAAGCCGGTTACTGTCAATATTGCTTAGAACTGTCAATCCTGTGAATTCTTAGAGCTGTCAATCCCATGCATTGAGGGAAGCATGGATGTCTGCCGAAGGATTGATGGCGAAAACGGTCGTCATTTTCGAGCAAGCCCCATGCGACAAAGCGTATGGAGCGGGGACGAGCGTGGCTGGATCACGAAGACCATGGAGACTGCGCGACTGATCAACGGTCTGTTGGTGCTGACGAAGGAGAGAAGGCTTCTCGGCCGAGGGGGAGGCGTGCTCACCGGCACGAGCGACAATACAGCGCGGCATTGGCAGAAGAAAGACGTGTGAGGAGAAACGCTCAGCAAAGAGAGAGGCGAGCTCGCCAGCGCAACCAAGAAAACAGTGCAGATGCTGAAATATCTGGTAGCCGATGTCTCGCCGAGGAAACACGTTTAAGGAGAAATGCTCAACAAAGGGAGAGATGAGCTCGCCAACGTGACCGAGAATACAACACAGACAGAGACGTCTCGCGAGACCTACGCGAGTGTGTACTGGACGCCCGCTCCCTGACTAAGAGCGAGATCGAATGGCTCGCTGAGAGCCAGCATTATTTGCGAGATCCGCGTCTAGCACTGGCGTACTATCATTGCTGTTGCGTCGACCCTGCGTCTTTTGTTTTCGGGGACGAGAATCTTGGCGGGGAAGCCGGGGTGGCGGCGCGAGAGCGGGTTCGGCGATGCTCGGTGACTTTCCCGGCCCCTGCGATATTGCTGAGTGTCAGCAATTAGTCGCGTCATGCGGGTCTGAAGCAACTTTCGTTTGGGCTTGTGCGGCGTGTGGACGGATTTTGCTGCAAACAGATTCGGACGGTGTCCATTTTTCATCGCTGTCGCAACTGGATACTGTTCTCTTGTCTACTACCGAGCGGGAGTTATTGCTTAACGAAATACCGGAGCCGGCATTACGGTGTTATGGACAGCTTTATTTCTTCGGAGAAGACATCTATTATTTGTTACCCGAGCTGGTGCGAGATCGAGAAAAAAGTCCTCTTTGTCACAAATGCAAAAGCGAGAGCGAATTTAGCGTCGCGGCTGGTCACGATTATGGGCGTATCGCGATGCTTCCGGTTTTGACTGACGCCAAACCGTGGTGCATATCTCCTGCTCGATGCTTTGGGATCGAGCTGTCGCTGTCCGGTAGACACTCCAGGGGTCACGCGATCTGCTTCCCCACAAATGGGCCTTTTGAGCTTGCCCGGGAACTACCAAATGCGCATTTTAGCGGCATGCCTCGTGTGACGTTCGTCGGGTCTCGTGAGGCGTGGTCTGGTCGGCGGAAAAGATACTTGTCATTGTATACGCTTCTGCCCGACGACGTGTACAAGTGGTTGACCGTGCTGAGCGGCATCAATAACGTCTTTCAAGAAGAGGGCATTCAGGTTGTTGATACCCCCAAGCGGCGGGAGCTTCTGAGGGCGATGGCTTCCTCCGTCGAAGCCTGTGTTCATATTTCTGGGTCTGCCGTTGTATCTGCTATTGACGAAGAGACAGAGGATGATAGCGGCGTACGCGATGAAAGTTTGAGCGGTGTGGAGGACACAGTGATTGTTCGCTCGTCGGCCGTTCTCCCGAATATTGAGCAAAGCGACCCGGCGGTTGTTCACGAGGTAATAGATGCTATGGCTGCCACTATTGCAGAGACGCGGCCGGGGCAGGACAATGAGGCGCCGGTAATTCCCATAAAACGCGGTAGGTCCCCATTTGTGGAATGGGTCGAAAATGCGAAGCTATTAGCTAGTGTTTTTCCAGATTTGTTTCTTACAGGTTCGCGTCCTCTTCCGTCCGGGTCTCTTCCCCAACGTTATGTCGACCACTTTCTGCATTACTGGGATGGCCGATTTGAGAAGTCTGTGGCTTTTATTTCGATGCTGTTTAATCAACTGCAGAGACATGCGGCGGTCCAGAAAGCTGCCCGAGTCGGTGTCGTACATGGTAGTGCCATGAAGAAGTTTGCAAAATTGATTGATACACAGAAGTTCAAGGATGCTCTTGCGTTCGCCAAAGATCATCCGGAGTCGACAGAGGCAAAACGCCTTAACGCAGGGCTACTGAGGCTGCTTTCTTTGGTGGGAGGTAGCGTCCCGTTCTCGCCGGTTGAGAGGGCGGCGACACAGCCGAAACTTGGCGCGATGCGCTATCGCTATGTAATCGCTCTATATTGGGTGACAATCGCACCTCCGGAGCATGATGACCTCCTGCTTCATCGGGTTGCAGCGATACGGGAGCAATCAGCATGGGATGATCCAAATTGTGTTTTTTCAAGAAAGGAGTGTCGTTTCGGAGATTTCCTGGTTTCTTTACGGAGTAGCGCAAGAGCGCGATTAAAGATCTCATCTCGGTACCCCGCGCTGTCGGCACAGGTATTTGAAAGAAGAATAAAATCGTTAACGCGCGATGTCGTGACTCCAGCTCAACTCGTGCCAGCACGAACTATACCGCTGCTAAACGTGGAGTGTACGGGCACTGTGCTGCTTTTAACGCGGTTATCGAGCCTCAAGCGGACGGCCGACGGCACGCTCACATGACAGTGTATGCGTCTGCTGTAAACCCCAGTCTGTTGACGAGGGTGGCAGGTTGCCCGGAGTTATTGCTAGATATGCAGCGATATTTGAGTGCGGTGTCGTGCACGAGTATCCCCAAGCGGTCGCGGGATTGGTGCGAAGCGTGGAAGGAAGATCACGCCGGGATGCTTCCACGTTTTTTGTGTATAATAACGTCCGCTGGGCTTCCATCGGTGTCGGGTCCGAAATTTTGCAAGACGCTGTCCTAGCCCGCGTAGATGAGCTACGTGGATGGTACGGTGGTGTGCCACCCGACCAGGCATTCTCACCTCTCGTTTCGGCTTAGGGCTCCCCTCTATATTGCTAATGCATCTACAGTCATGTGCGTCAATATGCAATTGTCTACAGCCTATATATCTAAATACGTGACATGTATACATGTACATCATACGTCTGTCGATCGGGCAAAGGGGCCAGGATTTGCAGAGCCTACTGACATACACGTTCCGTCAATTTATTGCTATCCCAGCCTACGCTCCAGCCCTAGTACTGAATCAACTTGGTCGTGATAAAAATATTATTTACTTCTTTAAAAAAGGAACTGGAGAAAGGCGCCAAACAGGGCTAGAGTGTAAATGAGGGTGATGCAGCTCTCAGACGGATTTTATTAAATCCATGCTAGTGCTTTTAATACAGGGGTTGGCTTGAGCATGACCTACATGTAACTAGCTATACTCAGAGCCGTGTTGGTGCTCCCTTGATCATGCAGGCCGCTACTTTTGTGATAATGTTGCCGTCACTGCTGCTGGCTTTCATGATTTGCGTGACATACAAGCCTAATATTATCATACTGTGATATGGTTTTGTCTCTTTAAGCTGTTCGGTGTCCTGGTTTCGTGCTTTTAGTTGTTTAATGCCCCAACATAACGTTTTACGAGTTCTTGTTTGGTGCCTCTTTTCCTGACCCTTTAAAAAGGTAAAATTATTTTTTCAAAATAGTTTCCCTCTTAGGTGCGATTAAGTTGCAATTCTCGAAGGCGCGGCCGAAGCACACCGCGTTCACGCAGCCAAGTCGATGTATTTCGCCTTTGGGAATGCGAGTTTGTGACGTAAGCTTCTTTATTCTACTCGGCCAATAAAAACCGAACAGAACTGGGAAGGATTAACGGTGTACTAACCAAGTGTGCCCCAGATTCCATGAAGTGTCATCAGTCACACTTCATGATACCTGGTACATGATACCACGCACCAACAATATAGATTCACTAAAGGTGACTTACAGTTTGTACATTGAGCTCAAATTTAGTATTGCTATAAATAATTTCAATTTGCAGCTACCTTTAGCTGTAACGGGCCTAGAGTGTCCGTTACTAGCTTACACGTAATAATGAGGAAGCGTGCAAGATCCACGATAGTGAAACCAAGTGTTTAGTCTGAAGGAAAATCAACTCTGTTTTTATTTAGGTCCAGGGCAGCTTGCCCTGACCACTCAAATACACGTCAACCCCTTATTGGCTGATAATGGGTCTGGCTCCCCATATATCAACCAATAGGATGACGGCAGTTCAGCACACGCTAGCCGTGTGCTGCTGCACCTACTTTTGTAATATAAAGCTACCTACTTATGTAATGGTGTGGCCCACTACATCACCCCCCCCCCTCTTAAAGTTGCACTTACGCAACATAAGCGACGGGCGGGGAACAAATCAATCAAAAGGGAAACGAGAGGAAAATCGTGGCCAACAGGAACGAACGAGGCGGGGACGAGACAGATCCTGCGCCACGCAGGAGAAGTACAACACGACTTGCACAGCAGACAACAGGAGCGGACGATGGAACAGCAACAGCAGCAGATTCCAGCGACGTCGCTGACGAGCGCGACGACCGCGGCACGCGGCACCTACGTGATGGACGAGGCGCTGAAACCCTGGCCCCTGTATGACATCTCTGGAGCGCAAGATCCGGAGTCTCTGGACGAGATGAAGGATCTCTTCCGGCGTTTTCGTGCGCTGCGCCAGAAGCCGGTGGACGGCGTCGACCACAGTGCGCTACAGGAGTCGTGGTGCGCCTTCATCCGGCGCTGGAACCGGACGCAAGCGCAGGAAGAGAATCTCGTCGACTGGATCGCATACCGGGAAGAAATCATCGGGGGCCATTCCTTGGGCGACCTGCGCGTACGAATCTGCGACAGCGCTTGGAACGCCGACGACCGCATCTGCTACGTGCGAGTTGCTGAAGACTGCAGGAGGTGTGTGTCGTCTCGCCCGACTACGGACGAGTGGAGAGCCCATGTCGCCGAGCATCCGCTCAGTGATCGCGAGAATGCCTGGATCAGGCGTT